CCGGCGCAGACGAGACGGCCTGCAAGGAGGAGCGAAGGATCAATGCAGTTCCAGAATCGATTCCAGCGGTTCATGAACCACCGGGCCCCAGCCAATGGCTGCTACAAACCAACTTGTTATGAACATGCTGCTAACTGTTACACACATGCATTCCTCATTGTCCCGGCCATCATGGGCAGCGTCCTCCTCCATCTGCTGTCTGACGACTGCTGGAAGAAGATAACAGCATGGATCTATGGCATGGGCCTCTGTGCCCTCTTCATCGTCTCCACAGTATTTCACATGGTGTCATGGAAAAAGAGCCACCTAAGGACAGTGGAGCAATGTTTCCACATGTGTGATAGAATGGTTATCTATTTCTTCATTGCTGCGTCTTATGCGCCATGGTTAAATCTCCGTGAACTTGGACCACTGGCATCTCATATGCGTTGGTTTATCTGGCTCATGGCAGCTGGAGGAACCATTTATGTATTTCTCTACCATGAAAAGTATAAGGCGGTTGAGCTCCTTTTGTATCTCACAATGGGCTTCTCTCCAGCCTTGGTGGTGACATCAATGAACAACACGGAGGGACTTCACGAGCTCGCCTGCGGAGGCCTGATTTACTGCCTGGGTGTGGTCTTCTTCAAGAGTGATGGCATCATCCCGTTCGCTCATGCCATCTGGCACCTGTTTGTGGCCACGGCAGTCGCCATGCATTACTACGCCATCTGGAAGTATCTTTACCGAAGCCCCACAGACTTTATGCACCATTTATGACTGTTCTGTACCAGGTGTCCGCACCAGTATTATTAGAGCGGTGGCACTTGGGAGAGAAGTGAGAGCTGCCTATTGCACAGGAGGAGGAAAAAGACAACTGCACTGACTTTCTTTATATAGTCTGACTATAATTATTGTGAAAGTATCAATGCTGTGTTCTGGAATGTTCCAGGATGAATCTGTTAAGACCCACCTGGGAGGTTTTATTCCCTCTCTAACTTCAGGGGAAAATCCCCACCTGGAGAAACAACCTTTCTCAGAGAGGTGACCTTGGTTAAAACACATAGCACTAAGGGGAGCAAACATATTAAGAACAGTATGCTATATACGCCAGGTCCCTTGAAACATATGCTGTGCAGATGTTTCTTTCCTGCAGCAACTGTGTCAAGCAGCAAGGATGGACCGGCTTCCGGCAGGGTCCCACCAACTACCCCTCACTTCTGATTCTAACAACTACAGCTCCCAGCTCTCATTCCCCATGCTTTTAAGAACCTCTACTACATGTTCTAGTGTCATGTCTTCCACAGAGACAGTATTTTAGAATAAAGTCATTAGTAGGGTAGGAAATGAGAGTATTTATCTGCCTTAAAATATACCCAGCGCGATAGGTATTCAAAAATATTTATTGAAAGAATTCCTGATTTGATGGAAGCTACAAAAAATAAAAGCCCTGGAAAAGAAGCCACCTACAGAATAACTGATCTCTACTTTTAGGTTTTAAGTTAATCATTAAAAATATTTAGAATGACTCCCTTTCCCCGACGAAGCAATAAATTGATCTCTATATAGAATACAAAATTGTTTAGTAATATGCCACAACACTTTACAGAGACTCCTATTCCCCAATATTTCTATTCTCCCCACCTTCCTGTAAGAACAGAACTCCTAGTGTTATTTGCTTCCCAGATAAAGAATCTATTTCTCAACTCCCACTCTCTCTGCAGCTAGACATGGGTATGTCACTAAGTTCTGGCCAACGGGGTGTGAACAGAAGTAATATACATGACTTCTAGGTCATGCACTTAAAACAAGGAGGGTGGCTTTCTTCTCTTCTTTTTCCCTTTCCCAATGGCTGGGATGCACACGTGATGGTAGGTACTGGAGTAGCCACTTTAAGCTGGGAGTTGAAACTGTGTTGTGAATGACAGAGCAAAAGAAAGAAGCAGCCTGTGCCTCTGACTCCATCAAGCCTCCCTTTGGCCCTTAGACTGCTTATACTCAAACTGTTACATGAGGTAGAAACTTCTATTTTGTCCAAATTGTGGTTTTTTGGAAATGCCTCTGTTGCCTTAGCCCAATCTGTATTTAAACCAATATTAACACCAGGCTACATTAGGAGAGAAAGCTAAAAGGAAAACTCCGTTCATTTGAAACACAAGTTGAGCAGAACTGATTATTGAGATATGAGCTGGCCCCCATGTTTTCCCCTTCTCGTATGGTTCCCGTACTTTCAGAATGGGCTCATAGTGTGGTTGACTCATGAGGAAATGTTGGGCCTGTAAAATCTCCCACTGCCGGTTTCTATTGTGTGCAAAGACATTGACTAAGAGAAGTGGCGATCTTTTCTTCTTCCAAACCCTCATAACACTTCACCTATACACTTCTTAAGGCCTCTAACATTTCCTATCTTGTATAATAATTATCCATGCCATCGCTTTCTTTGTTTTATGCAATGGCAGTTCCAGAAATCTATACAGGAGGAGCAATTGGGGTGGCAGGAGAAAAGTATAAGGGACTTACCATGAATCCGTATTGGAATATTAACTGTTTTTATTTTTTATTGCACTTTAGAGTTCATAAAAGAGAATATTTTTCTAAAGATGCTTTTATTTTAACTTAACTTATTACAATTTTTCATTTCCCTTGTCAGAGAACACTGATTTAAAGGAAAGATGACACTGGAGCTTATGAAGGAGTAAAATTGCTCCTCGCCTTCTAGGCTCCTTTGGGTGCAGCCGCTGGCCTTCAAGACTGTGAACCACTTGTAACCTCTGTGGTCCCCAGCACAGTGCCTGACACACCATTAATGCCTGACATTGTTTGTTGAATCAATCATCAACAGTGGTCACTGTACCAAGTTGCATCGTTTTTCTTCAGCCCCTTTGCCCATAAGAATTCAAGGTGTGTGCTTTCCCACTTGGGATGTATTTGCCTTACAAATTTTTTTCAATAAATTATCATGAAGTGCCTACCGCTATCATGGACACAGTTCTACGAGCTGGGAATACATCAATGATCAGGCAAGATTCCTGCCATCACAGAGCTTACATTCTACGGTGATGTATTTCTACGCAGAGATGAGATTGCTATGCAATCATTCACTTCCTAACTTATTACAAGTGTCGGACCAAAAGTGTTCATCTTTCTCTTATATCACTTTGTGTTTCTGCCTCTTCTTTACTTTTGCCTTCAGCTATGATTCAGTTTCTTCTAAAACTTACCATGAACCCAGGGTTTTCTCTCATTGGTACTATTGTTTTTACTTCTCCCACTATTGGGAAAAGTCAGAACTATCCTTCAAAAATAACAACACATTATTGTTGAAACTTTTGACCAATGCTTCTAAAGCTTAGAAATATTAGTCACATACAGCCAAATATCTGAGCGTCATAGAGTCCTGGACTCTTAATAGCATGCAATTAAAGGAAAAAGCTTCCACTGAACTAGGATTTAATTCTGCCACTTAAACCCAGCAATCAGGCACCTCTGATGTATCACTAGCATCCAATGGAAACTAAAGTCCTAGAGTAAAATCAAGCCAGAAGTTAACATATTTTTTTTCTGTTTCTGAGAGACCCAATTCTTGTGTTTCTTGTGGAAAGGAAGTATAATGGAAGAAAACAAAATCTGATAAAAAATTGTGTGCTCTATATTCAGAAAAATGTAGATAAGTGCCTATTCAGAGCATCCTTCCCACAATTCCAGGAGTATCACTGTTACTTTAAGGCAGTGGTTCTCAACCTTCCTAATGCCGCGACCCTTTAATACAGTTCCTCATGTTGTGGTGACCCCCAACCATAAAATTATTTTCATTGCTACTTCATAACTGTAATTTTGCTACTGTTATGAATCGTAATGTAAATATCTGATATGCAGGATGTATTTTCATTGTTACAAATTGAACATAATTAAAGCATAGTGATTAATCACAAAAACAATATGTAATTATATATGTGTTTTCCGATGGTCTTAGGCGACCCCTGTGAAAGGGTCATTCGACCCCCAAAGGGGTCATGACCCACAGGTTGAGAACCGCTGCTTTAAGGCTATCTGTGGACTCTTTTTTTCCCCTTTATTGAATAAGATATTACAAATGTGTCCTTATCCCCCCAATGTCCCCTCATCCCCCCCAGTCCTGCCCTCACCCTCACCCTCTGTTGTCCACATCCATCGCTTATGCTTATATGCATGCATACAAGTCCTTTGGTTGATCTTTCCCCCTCACCCCCACCCTCTCCTGCTTTCCCTCTGAGTTTTGAGCATCTGATCGATGCTTCTCTGTCTCTACATCTGTTTTTGTTCATCGGTTTACGTTGTTCATAGCTTTAAGAGTTCCCAGATTAAAGAACCCCGCATTTGTACTTTTCTGAAGTCTTTAACTTTAAAGACTTCATTTCATTTTTAAGTAGCATGTTTAATGACAGCACTCAACAAGTCATCATATTTAAATAGGAAGAACGACTTCCAAGGAAGGGGGAAAATAGTGAAGAAATGTCATTAACAATCAAACAAATAGAAAATAATACAACTGTACTATTTAACACATTTTAGGTAGTGAAGCATGTTTCAAGTACCATTCAGGTTGATGAATTTGCAGCCTCACTGAGCTCTGCATTCCATTCTGCCAATACTGTAAAATACATTGCAAAAATCATGCAATTGTTTATTCCTTTTGATCCAATATTTTCACTTCTAGGAATTTATCCTAAGAAATTACTGCAGCCAAGTCAATGCCTTTATATCTAATCTATAAAAACAAAAATATGTCCATCTTCCTGATAAGCTTCAATAAACAAATTGCAACATTGTAATTATGAAGACTATGTTGAACCATAGAATAATATTTATTAGACAATTTATCTTTAACTTTTTGGTAAAGAATTGGGAAACAAGTGACTACCCAAATAAATAAGAAATTTCCAAGTCACAGTAGCAAAATAAGAAATATGAGTATCTTATTGCTATATTATAGAACTATATACACACTTGGAAGGTAATTTACACATACTCAATTCAGCAAATATTAATGGAGGTCCTGCTATGCATCATATACTCTGCGAGGCTGGGAGGGTGCTGGACTGTGACAGAGGCTATTGGCTAGTCACCTAATTTCATATGCCCTTTTTCTTAGGCACAGAGCTAGACCCCATTTGCAGTTAGGTAGCCATGAGACTAAGTACTAGCCAATGGAACAAGAACAGTTACATGTGTCACTTCCAGTCCTTGCTCATAATGCCCTCCTACTCTCTTTCCCTTCTAGCTGCCTGTGATAGAGATAACTATGGTGATTATAGAAGCCACAATTTGAAGATGGCAGAGCCTCTGCCAAACTGGTACCCTGAGTGAGTGCATGGAGGAGAGCCACTGACCAATCTATTCATCTTCCCAGGACTCTGACATGAACAAGAAATAAAATTCCATGTGTTGAGCCATTACTTGTTTGGGCCTACTCATCATTGTAGTCTTGCTACTCTAACCATGCATACATTAGCCATGAGTTTTAAAATAATTATTCTAAATTTTTCATTTAAGTTTACTATAAACTATTAATTTAATAGGTTGAAATAAAACAAATAAATAAACAAAAAGGTTGAACTCATATGATCAAGCCAACTATTTTTTTCTTTTCTTGATTACTCACTAAAATACTTGAGGCTTACTCAATTAGGGCTTGCTCAATAATAGTCTAGAAATCAGACTATCTTTGTTTCTTATTGATAAAGGTTATTAAAAATAAAAATATAGTTAATTTTATTGGTTATTATAATTTCTTGAGGTTCAGGAGACATTTCAAAAATGTTTAAATTATTTCAAATTATACTTCTCAACTTAAAATCTCATACTTCAGCCCAAAGCAGATGTTTATCTCTCCCTCCCCTCCAGCCTCCCCCCTCCCCTGTTGGGGAGGCAACCAATCGATGATGTGTCTCTCTCTCCCCCTCCTTCCCTCCCTTCCACT